GTATGTATACAAACTTTAAAATATATTTACATAATCGCCACATTGTTTTCACCTTGATGACCACCTTAAGAAGAAATAGTAGGAATCAAGATAACAAATATAAAAATTAACACACTCAATGTATACAAAATATCTACCCTATGGATAAAACTACAACTTGCCAAATCAGCATCTTATTATTAACTAAGAATTTCTGGTAAGCAACCTGATCATTCTTCTACTGAAAAATACTGGATATTTCCGCTGAAAAATTCGTAACAATAATTGATACAAAAGCATCTTCCCAAGTCTACCTGCTCCCATCTGATGTCATTACTTCATAGTAGTTGTATCTTAAAAGTCACAATACTAGACTGAAAACACAAGTGATAATTACGTTTAGTATTAATTTGTAACTCATTTCACCATGTGGAAAAACTTGCAGCAATGTGCACATTCAATATTAAAGCCATGGTTTATGACAGAAGGTGTTCAAAGCATCATTTTTCATTGGTAGCAAGCATGAAATACGATCGAGATAAAAAAATATCTTTTGCCACAGAAGTAATTTAATGTATTTTTCTAGACTTTTTCACTTCAGAAATTCTCTGCAATTGAAACAGTTACATAAATTACAACTATCATACTTTTTATGTTAGGGATATTAGGTGTTTAGGTGAATGTCAACTTCCGAATGATAAAGATAACAGCTCTTAACAGGAGACAGCTAAAGAAAGTTACAGAAAGTTATCAACTAGCAGAATTAAATATATTATTGTACAAAGAAGGTTTGGATGGAACAGTGGATAGATGAGATGACTTGTGCTAGAATCTAAAAAACTTCTGAAAAGTAGCCTTGCTTGCTCATTTTAGCTGTAAGATAAAGCCTATATACTTTTCTCACATAGGAATTAAAAGCTATCTATCACAACTACAAATACGTAAGGATGTAACTTACCACCACCAAGGGTTTTGTCTGATTCAGTGTAACTAAAAAATGGATAGCTAGGGAAGGTACAGATAACCACCAAATAAAGTAGAGAGAGACTTTTTCTTAAGCAGAATATAAGGAGTGTTAGGAATGAAGTGTAGCAAGATGGAAATAGAAAAAACCGCTCTCATCTTAAAAGTACTATAACAAGTTCCTTAGGAACCTTCATGATCAAAGATAACACTGAAAGAAACTTTGCACACTGAAGTGGAAAAACTGAACATCAATGAGACTTATGATCTCGCAAAGTGAAATACTTTGAACACCTCTTGTCACTGAAATGTATTCCTGGTGATAATTTAAAACCCGGTCTTGGTCTTCTATATCTGCTTCATTTGACTTTGACACACAACATTGCCATACATTAAATATTGATTATGTCATTTATGTATGGGAGAAGTGAAGACTTCAACTTGAAAGCTGTAATTTTCTTTTATACTAACATCATCTCCCTAAGAGTGGAACAAAATTAGAAGTTTGAAGGACTGACTCAGTCATTTGCACTAGATACATTCTTTTAAATTATCTGAAGTTATAGATCTAAAATTTTATACTGTAAGTTTGAAAAAGCCCCAAGATTCAACATTAATGCAAACATAACATTTCTCCGTATTTGTAAAAGCTATTTTATACTAAGTAGTGCATTGCTTTTGTATCTGAAAAGAATATTGCATTTAACTTCATGAAAATGTCAACCACAAACATACAAAAAAATACAGTAACATCTCAGAATCTGAGCAGCTACTGAAAATGACAAGAAAAACTTGCAAGCCATATTGTATCATCTTAAACTTTTGTCATGTGAGTATTCAGTAAATTCATCTAATCTTGTTGAGACAGCAGTAAAACTTTAAAAAGATCAAAACTATATTGTAGAAGATAAAAATATCTGTCACAATCACTATCAACTTTATGGTTGAATGACTGAAAAAAGAAGGACTGTTAGTACAGTTTTCCCCTGAGTAAAACTTAGATTGCCTCTATACCTGAATCCATCTACTATAAATATGGTTTAAATGCTCTTTGAGCTGCAGTAGATCTTACTTGAAACTCAAGTGCAATTTAGTGAACAAGGAAGGCGTTCTACAGAGATTTATTAAAAGCTAACAAAAGCAAGTTTGTAGGTAGATCCACAAAACTATAATGATAGAGTAGTCCCAATGGAAAATTGTCTTGAGAAGTTCTGACCTCCCAAGGGGCTACAGTGAAAAATATATTTAGTTCTTTTATCAGGGAATTAAACTTTTGAGGATTGATTGAAATACACAGGTTCAAACTCAATATTCATCATTTACTACTCTGTTAGAAACAGATTTTCAGAAAACATGGAACATAAAGTGTAAACAGTAAAGAAATTTGAAATGAAATGTTGTATTTTGTATACATGGTATGTGTGTGTATATAAACAACATTAGGTTTTCCAAAATATAATTATGAAAAGACTTCTCCTAGCATATCAATCAGGAGTATTAGTAATGCACTTTCCCATACCTTCTCTCCAATATCCCCACCATGCATTAGTAACCTGTTACTTACATTCATTCAACAGAGGTGCTCCCGTCATTGCAGAAGCTTGATTTTTTTTTCCTGAGACACACGCACAACTTTCTACTATTCAGCAAATTCAGTAAGAGAGATGTAAGGGTTTATGTACATTTAGGACAAAAAAAAATACAACAAGAAAATGGTACAACAAAATAAACTGGAATACGTAATTGACAAGAAAATATAGTGCCACTAGCTCCACGGCTAGACCACCACTCCAAGCAATATGTCTAATCAAAGAAAACTAAGTTGTTTTTTTTTTCCCTGAAACTTCCTCTCCTTTGTTTCATTTCAAATATACATGTTTTGGAGCCCCAAAATGAGTTCCTAAACCAGCAAATGAGAATACTGAAGAGATACACACTTGCAGATTAAAGAAAAAAAACCCACCCTGAAATATCAACTGAATGCTGAAGTACAATTTATCTTTATTCTCACTATTGTGTGGATCAAGAGGTGCAATGTAAATTTAATTCATACTGCATTATTGGAAAGCCAGGATCCAGAAGGAAAAACACAAGTGCAGACATTTAGACATGTTGACAATCTTGAAGAATATGAATGAACTGTATTTCTGACAAATTCAGATGATGTTTGAGAACTTGAGGGTACTGAAAAGGACTGAACAAAAAGATAATGAGTAGTTTGTTTGGTTGGTTGTTTTTTTTAAAGTAATAAGTAAAATGAACCAAGAGCTCTCCAAGTGGCAAAGAAGCTTATACTTTTGTGCAAAATCCAACCCTTAGGTAATAGGAACAGATGAGACCACCCTTCAAGTTTATTTTCCAGTTGGGTTTTCCTAGATACTCCTCCATATCAGCTTGTACCATCCACTTTTGAAAGACATCACAGAAAAGCTAGACTATCTAGATGTTGTGTGGCAATTTCTGTTATAAAAGTGGTGTGGTCTCACACATTTTGAACAAAATCTGATTTTGCAGTAATACATGAAAAACAGAGCTTAACATGAAATACCAAGGCACGATCCAATTATGATAAGAGCTCATCTCAACTAATTTCCCAAAGAAGAGTTTCAGATTTTTAATCTGTTCCAAAGTTCTTGTGTTTCTTCTGTAATCTCTAAATCTTTGAAGATAGTCTAGAGGAGTGCATTCCACTTCACAACAGATAAGCTTTGCTCCTTCCCATTGTGATAACCTTCCTGAAAATATATAGGCTTCATCTAGAGCTATTTCTTAGAAATGCTGTCTCTGTTTTTATGCCTGGTCTCCTTTGGTGTTCTTTGGACACTTTTGTTTTGTCAACAGGCATAAAACTCAGTGCCGTTTCTCTGTTTCATATTGCTCTTCTGCTCTGAGTGTTCTAATGAAATAAGCTCCAAGTTTTTATTTTTAAGCCATCAGACAAGTGACAATTTTTTAGCAAAAAAAAATGAAGGAGATGCTTGCAGGTAGAATTCACTGAATACCTCTTTAAGAAAAGCAGACTATATAATGAAGTTCAAGTATGCTGTCCATCAGAATAATTTTGATTCACAGGGAAGGTGAGAACTGCACAAAACAATAACCATAGGCTAAACCAAAACATTTCTATGGGTGGTTGCCAATAAATCTTGTTTGCTGACAGAAAAGAATGAGACAGCAGGAAAGAAGAACTAGCAGATGTTGGCAATCACTTTAGCAAGCAGAATAGTCTTCAAGGATCATGAATTAGATGAGGAAGAATGTTATTGTTTGCCATCTGCTATGGGTCTATTAGTATGTCAGCATCTGGTGCCACAGAAAGATCTTTGTGATGTGAACGCACAAAGCGAATTCAGAAAGAGTTTTCTTCTCCTGAAAGGAACCCTGTGGAAGGTAAACATTACAGGCCTTGCCACTGGCCAATCTACTTAGTTTTTGATGTATGCTATCTAAAGGTTGATAAAAAGAGAACATTCTAGAGTTCACCTCAATGATTAAATAGTACAGCATAATCAGTAAGAACTGAATAATAAACCCACAAGGTTGGCATTAAAACTTTCTTTCTATTCAATTTAGGCTGGTTTTTGTTTCCAAATGTCAGGCAGCAAATATCTAAGTTTGAGCAAAACCAGTTGGTTTGAAAGTGTCTTAAACCAAACAATAATAAAGTGGTGCACAGAACTGCCCCAGCCCAGGCTAGTAATTTGCACATACATTTTGTTGACAAAATACTACTTGCTTAATGTTGTTACTCAGTGGCAGGATTATCTATGTTCCTGGGGATACTGAAGACATTCAAGGTGTTAACAACTTCATATTCATGATTGATATTGCAAAAGATAACATGAAACTTCAGTAACCATAATGTGTTGGTGGACCCACGTATTAAATTGTGCAACAGTACACATGGAATAAACTATACTGTCTTGCATTTTATTTATTTTATTACTTAGAATGATACAACCCTTGCATGCGAACCAACCTTGTTCAGCAGAGGTGATACATTAGTCTGATAGATTATATGTCTGAGCATGAAGCTTGCAAGGCATAAGCGTACTTACTTTTGGTGTTGGGCAGGACGCAGTGGAGAGACGAGAGGTGGCCTGGGCACGAGGAGATTCTGAAGGAGTAGTACTGAGGGAGGCTGTATCACGTGGGAGCACCTGAACACCACGAGAGATGATGGAATCTGGAATCTTAAAAAGAAGAGAGAGAGAATTAATAGTAAAAAATATACTGTATTTAAAACTTACTCAAAACCTTACATCAAAAATGTAGGAATACCCCACTCTTCGATTTGCATACCTCCTCATATGCAATGCTGGCAGTGGATAATGGCATGTTCTCATAATTTCAGTAACAAATACCTAGCAAATATATAAAATCATACTCTAACTTAAGTAGCACAGAACATACAATTTGTCCTGAAAAACCTATGAATCTGACATACTATGGCAGAAAATAATAAGAAAGTAACGTTTTTCCTCTTAAGCCTCTGTTTCAAGCCCAACTATGACCAACAGTGATTTCTACTGTGGCATGAAGGGAGGCAGACTTCCAATTCTCTAACTAGGCGACAATATTCTGAAGAGAAAACCATTTATTAGCAATAACTGAAATCCTCTGAAGAAATGTCATGCAGTTAGAAAATTTCTTGTAATAAATACTCTTCATTCTGTGTATCGAAGGCTATTACAGTTATAAACATTCTTGATGAAAGTTTTGTGCTGCAAAAGCTACAGGCCTCTGTGGAGGGAGTATGGGTAAAAGCATGAGAAACCAGCATCCAAAGCCAACACTGGTTAAAAATGCATTCTGAAGGGAAAAATAAAAATTGAACCTTTTTTTTTCCCCCCACACTATGTATGGGGAAAGTGTAGGAAAGTGTACCCCCCCCCGACAAACACGACTGGCAAACTGCTAACAACAGACAAGGAGAAAGCTGAGGTACTCAACAACTTTTTTGCCTCAGTCTTCACTGGCAACGTCTCTCCCCACACCTCTCCAGTGGATGGACCTCAAAGCAGGGACTGGGGTAGCCAAGTCCCTCCCACTGCACGAGAAGATCAGGTTTGTGACCACCTGAGGAACCTGAACAAACAGAAGTCTATGGAACCTGACGAATTGCATCCAGGAGTCCTGAAGAAATTGGCTGATGTAGTTGCCAAGCCATTCTCTATGATACCTGAAAAGTCATGGCAGTCAGGTGAAGTTCCTGGTGACTGGAAAGAGGGAAACATTGCACCCATTTTTAAAAACGGATAGAAAGGAGGACCCTGGGAACTACCAACGTGTCAGCTTCACCTCTGTGCCTGGGAAGATCATGGAACAGATCGTCCTAGAAGCTATGCTAAGGTCCATGGAGGACAGAGAGGTAATTCTAGACAGCCAGCATGGCTTCACCAAGGGCAAGTTTTGCCTGACCAACCTAGTGGCCTTCTATGATGGAGTGACTACATCAGTGGACAAGGGAAAAGCCACGGATGTCGTCTATCTGGACTTCTGTAAGGCATTTAAAACGGTCCCCCATAACATTTTTCTCTCTAAATTGGAGACATACGGATTTGATGGGTAGTAGTCAACAGTTCAATGAACGGATGGAGATCAGTGACAAGTAGTGTCCCCCAGGCGTCTGTATTGGGACCAGTAATGTTTAGTATCTTCATCAATGACATATGCAGTGGGATGGAGTGCACCCTCTGCAGGCTTGTGGATGACACCAAGCTGAGTAGTGAGGTTGACATACCTGAGGAAAGGGAAGGAGTGCCATCCAGAGGCACCTGGACAAGCTGGAAAGTGGGCTCACATGAATCTCACAAGGTTCAACAAGGCCAAGGGCAGGGTCCTGCACCTGGGTCAGGGCAATCCGGGGCTGGGGGATGTAGGGACTGAGAGCAGCCCTGAGGGGAAGGGCTTGAGGGTATCAATGGATGAAAAGCTGGACATAAGCCAGCAATGTGTGCTTGCAGCCCAGAAGGCCAACCACATCCTGGGCTGCATCAAAACAAAACATGGCCAGCAGGTCAAGGGAGGTGATTCTGCCCCTCTGCTCTGCTCTGGTGAGACCCCACATGGTGTACTGCATCCAGCTCTGGAGTCCTCAGCACAGGAAAGACATGGACCTTGGAGCAGGTCCAGAGGAGGGCCACAAAAAATGATCCGAGGGCTGGAACACCTCTCCTGTGAGGACAAACTGAGAGAGTTGGGGTTGTTCAGCTGGGAGGAGAGAAGGCTCCGGAGAGATCTTATTGCGGCCTTCCAGTACCTAAAGGGGGCTGGTAAGAAAGATGGGAACCAACCTTTTAGCTGGGCCTGTTGCAATAGGACAACGGGTAATGGTTTTAAACTACAAGAGATTTAGACTAGATATGAGGAAGGTATTTTTTACGATGAGGGTGGTGAAACACTGGAACAGGTTGCCCAGAGAGGTGGTAGATGCCCCATCCCTGGAAACATTCAAGGTCAGGTTGGATGGGGCTCTGAACAACCTGGTCTAGTTGAAGACATCTCTGCTTATTGCAGTGGGGGTTGGACTAGATGACAGGCAGAGAGAGTTGGAGTTGTTCAGCCTGGAGAAGAGAAGCCTCCAGGGAGACATAGTGGCCTTTCAGTACCTAAAGGGGGTCTACAGGAAAGGTGGGGAAGGACTGTTTATCACAGGAGAGGTGCTCCAGCTCTCTGCTCATCTTCGTGGCCCTCCTCCGGACCTGCTCCAACAGGTCCATGTCAGAAGCACCATTTCCCTTTTCTTTTTCTCCTGAAATCCCATCTTAAATATGTTAAACACAAAAAAAGGCTGACATCCCTAAGTTTCACATTGGCATAACTCCAATACTATCTACAACTTTTAATGCTTCATTTTTATCTCCATGACAAGGACAATACAGCAAAAAATTACATTTTGATAAAGGCATAAAATAAAAGAAGACACAATAAAAGAAGGAACGGTTTTAAATCTTCAAATAAGATACCTTTTCTTTACCATCCTCTGACAAAAAGCTGCACGTATCTTGATATGATTGTGTTTGGGTCCATTATCTCTTTTATATACTCCAAGATCCCACAATACAAATACAATATTGCTTCTGCAAATGATACCATGATCCAGTTCTCCTTGGGTTTACTCTGGTTACTCTGGAGTAACCATATATTACATATTGTCTCATCCCCTTCAGGCAAGTAACTGTGGGTTGTTTTTTTTTTCCTATCCACCATATCCATCAATCATTGCTTCTAAAATTTTATCCAGTATCCCCTTTTTCAGACCAAAAAACTCTCTGTGCAACTAAGTGACTGAGACAATTCCAGTCTCCATTGAACTGTATGTGAAGTGCTAATTTTTGCCTGTGAGAAAATTAAAATTTAAGTAAAATTTCAGCCAGGACATGTATCAGAAAAGGAAGTTGAAGATAAAGGGAAAAGATGGTTACAGGCATTTCATTTCAATGACATTTATTCCCCAATCACTACCTTTACAGAAAATACGATTGCCATAAAACAATCCATATATAAACCTATCTTGAACTGTAAGTTTCAGCTTGCTAGCTTTCACAGACACAAAATCTTACTGAATTTTGTTCACAAATTTTGCTGTCAAGAGGTTTATTTTTCCAACATGACAGCAGTGTGTTGTATTGCTAAAATCAACATTAACATTCTCTGTAAACCACTACAACCTGCTAATTTCAGGGAAGGTATTAATATATATAATGCATAAACATAAAAATATAAAAAATATAATGGATATACACAGTTCGTGAAGTGAAAGGGACATTAGAGAAATTATGTGAAATGGAGAATGTCTCATTTTTCTCAGCTATATTTAGTAAGTTTTTGTCCTTTTAAAATTAAGTTTAGGCAATCTACGTCTCTAATCAAGGCAACTTCTTCTTAACCCTGTTAAAGAGGTTGACAAACCCATGAGAAATTTCTGTGTTTCCTGGAGCCTGGAAATCTACAATAGGGAAGGGCAGGATAGACTGTGTTGTAGATAGATTTATTTTTTTTTTAAAAAACTTTCACAAATCACACTCTAAGCATTTATGATGTCTCCCTGTAAAATTTTTCAACTCATTTGCCAGTTTCAAACAAATTTAATAGAGGGTAGAGGTCTCAAAACTCTAAATGGGGTACAATAAAACTCCAAGTTCAGTGAAAATAGTTTCTGTTTGCACTAGCTGGAGTGGAAAACCTTTTGTAACATACTGACAGAGAAAGAAATGAATGAGAAATGAAGTGTAAGAGAAAGATATCCACCACATCCATCACTCATTGCTTCTACAATTTTTATCTGATATGACATTTTCCAGAAGTATTTTTATATTGGTTTAAATATTTGTGTTTTCAGATTAGATAACTAAGCGTTAACAAGAAGGAGAAAAAGGAAAAGATATAAGCTCTTTATTCTCTTTTGCTCATGACTGGAACAAAGATTGACAGTGCTGGTAAGGTACTAAGAAAACAAGCTATAGATGGTAATAACTATGATTGTTATACAAGAGCAAAAATATGTTAAAAACATAGAGAAAGGGCAGCTTAAAAAAAATCAACAACCTTCTGAAAAACTAGCCACTTCCTGCTCTGAGTTTGAAAATCTGACTTGGATTATAGAATGCATAAAACAATAGCTCAAGAGTAATTTGCAAAATGGCACAGAAGCCTGGATGACAGCTTAACGGCATGCTTCAGAGAGGTTGAATTCACTGTTTTACTGATGCTGAAGAATATGGTGCCAATTCTAGTTTAATAACCTCAACTCAAAAAAATGAAACTACTGGAATAAACGTGTGTGTATGTATGTCCACATGCATAGCTTTATCATCAGGTGTGTGAACTTCAAAGCCTTCACGTTTTCTAAGTCACTTTTCAAGAGACATGGTCATCATGTTTTAAATACAGAGGCGTTACGCTATTTGACTGATGGTTTAAATGACTACTTGCCTAAGGGAACAAGAAAGGGCAGCCTCTGGTCATCAAATCTAGTGACGTATTTTCCCAAGATCTCACACCCGTTTGCTGGCTGACATGGAATGAATGGGTCAGAGAGCACAAGCCTCTCTAGGCCAACTGCCTTCCTTGGGTTTCTCTAACCTACAGTTACGAATACAGTAAATTACGTTTCATTCCTGATGATACTGTGGCCATTATTCTATCTTGACTCAAGCCTAGACTAGACCTTTGGGAGATGGAAAATAAAGTATAGTATTTTGCTAGATCCTGAGTTATAACCTCTGAGTTATAATAAACCAAGTCCTGTCCTTTCTACCATTCATTGAAATAGTTGCCTACTATTCACTAAAATCCAGTAATTTACAATAAGTCCACTGTATCCTGACTCCTCAAGTTCTTTCTTCTGTTTCTGAAAAAGTCTACTTCTAAACTGAATACAAAAATAAGAGAGAAACTGCAAGTGATAAAAGCAAACTATGAACACCCAGCACAAACGCTGTATTACGTTGACAAACAAACTACTGAGAGAAAGAAGCAAAGCAAGGCAAATGAAAGGGGAAAAGTTACCACAGTATCACAGCTCTAAAGCAACACTTTTAGGAGATCATTTTAATTATATTCAATTATTGAGTATATTAAATGATAAAGCCAACAACTAATCAGAAACACAGGCTTTATAGCAATGATTATCTCAGCGGCCAAATGATTCAAACTGACAAAGCACACAAACTTTACCTTGTTTAGCCCTGTACCCTAAACAGAATATTTTCTATAGCATGTTTTTTAAGAGCACGTTCTTTGTTAGAATAAATAACGCTGTCTGCTCACACAGTAGATTAGGAGGCTGGCAGTGTATTTTTAGCTACTGTTAGTGCAAAAGCCTCTTGGAAGTGTCTCTTACCGGTTCTCCTGCACTGCCTGCTGCGTGATGGCAATAATTGATGAGACCAGGGATGGGCTGTTCACCTTTTGCCATGATAACAGCTGAACTGGTGTAGGATGGATGCTTCTAATGCACAACACATAACAGCTATGAATACAGTGACAGGAAAACATGAAACTATACAAGCAAATGACCGAAAGGGAATGAGGTGAAAACAAGCATGACACTGAAGTGCCAAACTCATATGAACACAGTCAGTTTAGATCTCAGGTATTTTCTGCCTTTAGAAATTGCACATATTATTTATCTTTGCCTACATCAAAAGAAATTAATCAATTTAAAATTTGCATTAATAAAAACTGAAACTTGCAAGTGATAATTACCTTAATTCATCCCTGTAAAGATATATGTAATCAGGGTTTTCTGTACAAGAGGAGATGATCTCCAGCTGCAGCTGTCTTAGAAATGTCAAGATGTCTCAGACCTGAATTTACATTTCTGGAGTTAGAATGTTGCTGCTTTGATTTAGAAATGATTTAATAAAATTTTGAGTTACTTAGACTTTCAATTCCCATAATAAGACTTACAAGCACAATTTGTGGAGTAAATATAGAACAAAGCAGTTTGGAAAAAATCCTTTCCAAACACATAGGAATATATTGTCTTTCAATTTGAAAATTGAAGACATAAAATTGAGGTAAATATATATATATATATATATATTGCTTCAAACAATATATTTCTTTGGAAAACATTTAAAATTTGAACTGAAATAATTTGCAAGTGTTATCTAATTTTTTCCTTTTGTAGTCTCACATTTATTGTTTTGGTTTGAGTAATGTTGATCATATGACTACTGGGTAAAGCAAGGCTATAAAGACAATGGGATGACATTTAGTTTTGCCACAGAATTTCACATCTCTTATGCAGACATGCACACCGGAAGACAGTAGTCCGGACACCTTATTGCTTAACCTGCTACCGATCTCTCATACTTTTTATCAATGTTTTTGGAAACCAACATTTTCTCTTCAAAACAGATATTATGGCTTCAAAATTTTTGTTGCGATTCCTTAATATGCCACCTACTGGACCTTGCACGCTCAGGGGTGTGAGCACTTTGAATTAAAAAAAAAAACACTAAAAATGTCAGTCACATCAGAACGGTATCATAAAAATGGATGTTATCATCAAGATAATAAACAATGTCTCCCACTGAAATTTGAGATCACCTACCGAAACAAGATTCATACATTTTTATGCAGCTAAATTTCTACAAAATGTACCTAAAATACATCTGTTTGACACACAGACATCAATGTATAGTCTTAACATGCAAATTAATATTGGTGGAAAGTACCTGAGATAGAAACTAAAGGGTCTCTTGGGGAAACAAGCCAGACTCACCTTAGCTGCAATGGCTGCTGCTGTTATATGTGAAGAAGAACTGTCCTCTGTTGAGGCAACTCCACTATCCTTCTTCTCTTCCTCCTCTTCCTCACACTGTACTCCTTTGTCTTCTGTCTGCTTGTGAGGGCTGGTGGTTGGAGGAGGAGAAAGAGGTGGTGGTGGTGAAGGTAGATCTTCAAGCTCATCGTGTACCTCCTTTACTTTTACAATGGCATCCCGCAAAAGATCAATGGCGTGAGGTAGGGCTGGCAGTATAAACTGAAAGCATTCCTATGCACAACAAGAAGAGAAATGACTATGAAGAGTTACCTGCAGAAGTAAGTGGGGATTTTTCAGATTTACTCTTAAAAGATACTCAGGATTTAGATGTATCTTTTCACCCGACCATAAATAAAACCTTAAATGCCCTATGCAATTGCTCATAGAGGGTAAAAAAACAAACTCAGAACCAGAACTGGGGACTATAAATTTTTGCCTTTTTTTCATGTAAATATAGTAACTTGTACAACAGGGCTTCTGTAATTAAGCTAATATTGGATTAAAACTTCAGAAAACAAGAGTTCAAGACTACATAATATAGAAACCATTTCACAGCAGTTGGCAGAATACTACAAAAAAGCAGAATAAAAACATTAACTCTATCCCTGAAGGGATATTAGCTTCAAATCATTCCTACTATGTTCCCTCACAATTAGAGAACAATTCCTAAGTGTTCCCATAATTATACTTTTATAGAATTATATCATTTTTATTCATGGACTTATCCTATACACAGGAAGAATGACAAACTACACTGAATTAATTACGATTTTATGTAACTCAGAAAAAATTGTTCATAAATAATCTATTTTTCCATCCTCTCCTTGCTCTATGATTGTTTTTAACAAGTACAAAGTTTATTTTATATGGCTGGAGAAAGCAAAAATGCAGATGCTGTGTAACTGTTCTTGCTCCACAATGGGCATACACATATATAGCTACCTCTGCTGCTAAAATACACTAGTATTTCATCAAATCAAAGAAGAACCTAAGGACATCATGCAGTGCAGGCTCCTGCTCAGATCAGGGTCAGTATGAAATTCAGACAGGTTCCTTAGGGCTTTGTTCTGTAAAGTCTTGAAAAAATCCAAGAACAGAGACTCCACAAACCTTCCTGACAACCTGTTCTAATGCTTAATTACCCTCAAAGTGATTTTTTCCCCCCTTTTCTTTTTATCCAGCTGGAAGCTGCTTTCTTCAGTTTATGACTACCATCTCTCGTCTTCCTCCCAGGCACCTCAGTAATGTCATTTGAGCAGAATGCATATAAACATTAAATTATTGGAAAATGATGGCAGCGTCACAAGAATGAATTGCCATGGCAGTGCAGTTAGGGAATGTACAAGTTGTCAAAGAAAGCTGACATTACTCTTTTTGTTGAACTTCATTTTTGGTTTTGTTTCAAGCATAAGGAAGATTTAAAAAAATGTATTCCAATGTTTTAGAGCATCCAGAAAATAAATAATGATAAACATTTTGTAAATAGATATTGTGACAAATATTTTCAGTAAATAAAAATGACTATGTAAACAAAATAAAGAGCAAACCATTCATCAGAAATTACTAGAGTTTATATAAGCCACTTTGTAAGTCAAACACATGACTCACAAACACTATTTATTCAAAGCTTCTAAATAAGAGCCCATCTTTCAGTCACTCCCTTAAGAGAAATGAAAAATCAGACTACTTCATAGATTTATAAATTCTTTCAACATTCAATTTGGCACTCTGAAGAACTGGAGTAAACTGGATGAGCATGCAGTAAATAATGAATATACATTAAAATATATTTGCAAACATAATAAAGAATTGTAAGATCTAATGTAACTGCAAACCTCAGTTATTGTGCCTCCACAGTTTTATTTTAAAAATGGTTTAAAATCCTGCAGCATACAATCATCAGTTTCAGTAAAAAAGCAACCTCAAGTATGTGGTAAACAAGGACAACAATCTGTGAACTGACCGATAACCATGAGAAAGTACATTAATGAGTAACTCATTAGAGAATCATGTTCCCTACTCCTACCACTGAAATAAAGCTTTGTTGGCGTAACTGTTGATGAACAGGTTCGCAGTAAGTACTCTAAAAGCTCGTGCTATTTGTAAAACTCATTGTCATAGGCAATTGTTAGTTCTACTAAGAAAACTGCCATAGACCAAATTATTTCAATGAGCATCTGGTAATTTCACACATTGTCCTCTTTCATAACATTAAATACCTTTTGCGAAGCTGAAAGAAAAGAAAACAGACCAGAACAACACAAAAATGCAAGTACTTTACAGACCCTGATTCAGTGGTACATGCCACACAGATGTGGTGAGCAGTGACGAGTGGTGTTCCTCAGGGGTCAGTACTGGGACCGGTGCTGTTCAACATCTTTGTTGACGACATGGATGCCGGGATTGAGTGCACCCTCAGCAAGTCTGCCGATGACATGAAGCTGTATGGAGCAGTTGACACGCTGGAGGGAAGGGATGCCGTCCAGAAGGACATGGACAGGCTGGAGAGGTGGGCCTGTGCAAATCTCATGAAGTTCAACAATGCCATATTCAAGGTCCTGCACGTGGGCTGGGGCAATCCCAAGCACTAATACAGGCTCAGCGGTGAATGGCTGAAGAGCAGGCCTGAGGAGAGGGACTTGGGGGTGTTGGTTCATAAGAAACTCAGTATGAGCTGGCAATGTGTGCTCGTGGCCCAGAAAGCCAACCATATCCTGGGCTGCATCAAAAGAAGCATGGCCAGCAGGTCAAGGAAGGTGATTCTGTCCCTCTGCTCTGGTGAGACCCCACCTGGAGTACTCCATCCAGCTCTGGAGTCTTCAGTGCGAGAAAGACATGGACCTTGGAGCTGGTCCAGAGGAGGGCCACAAAAATGATCAGATGGCTAGAACACCTCTCCTATGAGGACAGGCTGAGAGAGTTGGGGTTGTTCAGCCTGGAGAAGAGAAGGCTCCAGGGAGACCTCGTTGCAGCCCTCCAGTATCTGAAGGGTGCCTACAAGAAAGCTGGAGAGGGACGTTTTACAAGGGTATGTAGTGACAGGACAAGGCCTAATGGCTTCAAACTGGAGATTCAGATTAGATATTAGGAAGAAATTCTCTACTGTGAGGGTGGTGAGTCACTGGGAGAAACTGCCTGGGGAAGTTGTGGATGTCCCATCCCTGGAAATGTTCAAGGCTAGGTTGGATGGTGCTTTGAGCAACCTGGTCTAGAGGAAGGTGTCCCTGCCCATGGCAGCGGGGTTGGGACTAGATGATATTTAAGGTCGCTTCCAACATAAACCATTCTATGATTCCATGATACTCTGGAGAACACGTTTGACATTGTGTCCATTTTTGAGATGGAGCATTTAGACTGCTGCCATTTTCTATTAATTTTTGTATTTTATTAGTAAAATATGTATACTGCTGCAATTTCATAGCTTTATATAAGCTTCTTTTTTGATTGTACTAATACGATGGAAAATAAATTAGCAAGTCATAAAAGAGGAATGAGAGAAATTCCTGGTAACAACCCATCCTATTTGGTTCTTGAGATCCAGCCTCTTATGGAACAATTTTCTCTACTATTCATCTTAAAATTCCTTGATGAAATCTGATACTTTAAAGATGTTTCATATTAAAATAAATTGTGACAGAAGAGAGTATCATCATGACAGGAGCAAATAAATCATCAGTTTATAAAAAGCTTGCTTGTATAATGAAATCATATGACATTTTTTTATTTTTCCAGCAGAACTACCTGGTTTATTACTACTTTATATCTAACTATTGTTTAAACACTTATTAACATTTTTAAATTTCTTTTCCTCATCCTCTTTCTACAATTTACCTATCTTCACAGTGAGCGCCTCAGGGCAGAAAATGACAAACTATTCTATACCTAGCATGATAGGAGTGCTACTGAACACAACAAAAACGATTAGAGATTGTAGGCTATTTCATCGCTTTCATAATTCAACAAAAGAAGTATAGACTTCTGAAAAAAATCCTCTTACTGGTGCACCAGTTTTCTAAGACATGGAGCCCACTGCTACATTAAATGCATGCACGCACATATGACTTCCCGTTCATATCTGGAAGACTTTCAAGTAGGTATCCTCCTGCCCCATCATCCTCCAATGCTTGTTGCATGTTTTGAAGGCTTTTAATTACTTTGCAATTACAGAGTCTCATCAGACGTCCTAAAAAGGCTCGAAGGAATGGCAGAATCATAGAAGGGTCTACTGAGTCCTTGAACTGAAACATGTAAACAATGTATCTGAAAACCTGTGATGGCTGCTTAAGATAATGGTATTCAAAACATTTCTTCTTCAACTTCAGGTGACAGCCCACATAAACATTCTTTATTTATCTCCAGACATAAGTCTTTCAAGCAACAGTGATTTCAGGGCTGTGCTGCCAAACACATTAGCACTGTCGCCTCTGTGACAGGGTACTACTGGTTCAGAAGATGTTGATAAACTACGAGGTACGCATTTGTTAGAGGCCAGAGGTAAAGACATTTTTTAACAAGGCCACTGACATAGTCTGAATCCTGGAGAAATATGTTCTCATGATTGATGAGGGATCTACCTTAGCAGTTTTGTATCAGGTTGTACAGCCCACTATTCAGCTTAGCAGTATTTGTGTGAAGACGGCTGTTTTTCTGGATCGGTCAACCAACTACACAGAAAGAGCGAGCACTGGAACGATCAGGCCTTACTAACACGCAAAAAAAAATTCCTCCTGATGTTTAATTGTGTTTCTCTCAGCTATACAGTCAGAAAGTAAGCATGAATAAAAACAGAAAGCCTAACTTCCCTGTCCAAACTGAGCAAAATGCAGGAAGAAAACAAACTGTGTGAAGGGTGCAAAGTCTGATACCCATATCCAAAAGATTTAAAAAAATCCTCAGACTCTAAAAATGATGCTCCTTTTTTTACCCTCTTGCTGACCAAAACTGGGAATATTCTTCATGCTCCAGCAAGTTCTACCATACACTAGGCCTTCCTCTTATTTCTTTGTGAAAAAGAACGCTCTCTTGGAAGCTGTAGACAACACAGGAATTGGGTAGAGGCTGACTAGAGAAGAAAGGGGAAGTGTAAAAGACCATGAGATTCTTCATTAGCACTGCCTGCTACAGTAAGCGCTCTCTCGCATTATGTGTAATGCTGTCCTGGTCACACAGTACCTTCCATCAGATCGGAATTGTATCGTCTCTGACTGAGAGTGATGGTGTGTTCAGCTATATGAATATCCATTTCAATTCACTTTTGTAGAATTTATTGTAGCGGGTACTTTCTACCATTCGGAACAATGGGAGGTACTCATCATGGGTCCCCAGTAGCAGATCAGTAAGAACACTTCTTACCTGTGACCCTTTCTTGCTACCTGGCAGATTAATTATGAGAGTTTTCCCTCTGATTCCACACACAGGTCTGAAAAGAAAGAAACCCAGAGTGAAATTCTTGCATGCAACTTAGTCCACTGTAGAAACAAGAACAGAGCATTTAAGATAAATTCTATTACGTATCAGAATTTGTAAACGCAATCTCCAACATTTAAAAATATTTTCACAAAACAGCTCAGGAGAAGCTGAGCTGAAAAAGCATCAAACAAGGCTGACAGAGTCTAACATTTAATTGATGGTATAAACACTGGGTAGATTTCCACCTTTTTTAGATCTGTGTAGGTCCCTTAATTCTATTGTTTATTTGCATCCATGTAGTCCCTATTTGCTCATACACGTGGTTCCTTTGTAACGTAATTGATGGTGTCAAATACTATTTCCCTTGCCACGTAAAAGTACTAAGTCATGCTGGTTGCATTAATTTAAGTATGTCTTCTTTTTTTTGAAAGATGCAACATAAGGAAAGCACAGAGGGAAGTAATTCTTAAGTGAAAATTGCACTTATGCAATTCATATCTAATGCTTTCTAACAGTCTTTCCTTCCCCCTCAAAAAAAAGATGAAATGGACTATCAAAGATGGCAGATTTTATTTTATTTCTTGTCTTTAGGGAATTCCTTTGGTATTGACGCAGGGCTGAACTTAGACACCCAAGTGTTGAACGCTTTCTGTTGCTTAGAGTTTGCCTCTTCCTCCTTTTAGCTAGCTGTTTTTAAAGAAAAAAAAATTACTGGATTTTGTTTTGAGGTTGTAAAGAGTGTCTCCTGCTTTTCTCCGCTGTTTACGAAGCTAGTGGTGAAAACCCAGGGCTGGGATATAGGCATAAGAAAAAAAGTAAAAGGATGAAACCAAACGACAAAGATACGCAGGCTACAGTTAAGAGAAATTGTGTAACAACCTCTCTATCAAACACCAACATGAGCCATAAGTGAAGACAGAATAGAAAAGAAAATATTTTCTTAATAGGGCATTACCATAAATTTTGAGCCAAAGGACATGGTTTGTGGGGTTGCCAACTTTGTTGGATTTCTTCTTATAGAAATAATTCTCAGGGATAAATGTCATTTATTGGTGTGATTAATGTTGTTTATTGGTAGTATGGCATTTTCTAGCAGGGTTGCAAGTATTCTAGTGATAGTGTTCACAATTAAATAGCACAGAAACCATTTTTTGTGCCATAAACTGAACTTCTGATATCACAGTCAAGTCAGCCCGAAGAGACAACTGGCAGCCTGAGCATTGCCTGACTCCTAGCCTCTGTTTTCCTGTATTCCTTTCTTGTATGCTATATGCCCTTAATTAAGAAAGAATTCCAGGTAGCTGAGGAACGTTCTGTTGCAATGCAAAGATGAAGAGCCTGAGTTAAAGAAACTTCCTTGTTTACTCTTGTTGCAGTTGTCAAACTTACAGACTATAAACAATCCAGCAAATCTGATATGTGGGCTACAGTTTATGACAGATTCAAAATAAAAGAAATACGACTTATCCACAGAGGAATTAAAATGAGGTGGAGTTGTGTTTGGCAGACAGCTCCTTTAATAATCTTCTTGGCTCTTTTATTCTGCTTTAAATAATTTTGAACTTTAGAAGCTAAATGACCAATACAACCAAACAATAATAAAAAAGGACTAAACCAGCAGCCATTCTCCTGAAAGCTACAAGTTTCAGCTGCCAATAATCACATCTAGTGTCTCAGGAAAGAAATGGAGCTGCCAAAAATTTCTCAAGAGAGCATGCAAAAGTAAGTAAAAGTACCATATTTTTTGCATGTCTTGCAAAAATACTGTGTGTGCTCACAGCATAAAAGCACACAAAATGTGCACACATTCTGGGTAATTTAAGAGATAAATTAATAATACCCCTCCAAACGTAGAACAGTTAAGGGAGATGCTGTGGATCTCATGTTATCCTCAGCCTTGTGATGCAGTGGACAGAAATTTTAAGAAAAAAACCCAAACCCTGAGAAAGAAGAGTACAAATAGAAGCAAGGGAGAGGAAGGAAAAACAAGACGTGGGAGAAAGAAAAAAAAAAAAAAGGACGTGGGAGAAAAGAAATACAGGTCTAATGCAGAAGGAGGAACGGAGAACAAAGATTCTGTGAAAAAAAAAAAAAAAACAAAAAAACAACCCACAATCTCCCTGGGAAGAAGTTATGCTGGTAGAAGGAGAATAGATGGGCAAGGAGAAGAGAGTGCTTTAAAAAGCCTCAATAAAGACTGGTACGGCATGGGTAGCTGAGAGGTAAGGAATCAGGTGAAGGGAAGAGATAATTCCGGGACAAGGACAGTTTTGGAATGTCACAGAAAAGAAAAGAGAACAGTTTCAGGAAACGTGTAAAAAGGTCTATGACGCTTTAAGATACTTCCTGCTGGACCTTGGGACTAATCTGGACTATGGGAGTCTCACTGACCCTTATCTGCCCGTTAAGTATCTGTGAATCCAGTCTACAACATAACTCATGATTTCCTAATGCTGGCCCATAGTCAGGAAGACAGCCTGTAACTTATAACAATTTTTAAAAGTTCATGTGATAAAATTCAACACGATTGACCTAGTATTTCCAAACCTGCAGGTGATTTATGGAAGTGTCAACTTAATATTGCATAACAGAACTTCTGCTTTTGTTTTCTTAAAAAAGTCAAAGAAATTACATGATAAATTATTCATCAGAACTTTATTTCAAAATGAAGTCAATGAGAGGTAAGCTTAGGACAAATGACATTTAATGTTAAATACTTTGAAAAATTAGGATCCACATTTCTCAAACTGCGTACCTAAAATTAGTGTATGTTTTTGACCTCTCTTAATGTGTGCCTTAGTTCTCATTGTAAAGAGGGATTACAACACTACCTCAATTTGCAGAATTTTCCATGAAAATATATTAGCAATTTGTGTTTTAGAATAACAAATGATGTAAGAAAAATCCCAGAAGTGAGTCTGCATTCAGAGAAGATTTTGAATAAAAAGCACCAAAACTGATATAGGATTACACAAAGGACAACCAAAACAAAGAAAAGTAAATTTCCTTCCTCCATCTTAAGAATTTGCAGAGGAATTCTACCAAAAAACGTAATCATAACACACATGTGCCTTCATGGAGAACTGAGATTGCACAAGAAACCATAATGTTGTCATTTTGTAATATTTGCGTACTTAACTTTATGATCTGAACAGTGTTACCAAAAGAATGGACTTTTGCGTGCTGATTACTTTGGGGCCTGAAGTAAATGTTTTCACTGGGAACATTTCAAGGGACTAATATGATTGCATGCATAATCTGTAATGTTATCTCCCATCATTGTCATCAATTACTACTGAAAGTGGCTGTATATGTATAGCATGTTCTTCCTATAGATACATACAGAAGAGTCAGGTTGCAATCCAGCATTTTTGTTCCACTACCATTACAACATCCTTTCAGCCATTCTGACCACACCACATCCTAAATCAAACTTGGTTGTGTCATCTAAATGGCTATCCTTTTCTTGATCAGAAACAGAACAGCTAAATAAACTTTTTTCTCTTTGTGGTAGCATTCTGTTATCCCTTCCCTTCAGATAAACAAACGCCATGATATAAAAAAAAAAAAAAAAAAAAAAAGAAAAAAATACTTGCTAATTTGGACAGAATCTGAAGGTGTTAACTTGTTAATGTTACCCTTTCAGATATGTGATATGAAAAGTTTTAAAATACCTTGTCAAATCACTAAACCTCTCATCTAAATGTCCTTTAAAAATGCAAGTATCTGAATACAAAGGTAGAGATTTGGAAGTTTCTTCTTTATTTCTTATATTATTATTTTCTTGTTATAGCCTCATTATACAATGAGAAATCAAAAACCTGTAACAGCCATTGTTTCTTAGTTACCTTGAAATAATGTGCAAGCACAAACTAACTTATGAAAGGTATTGATACTACTAAGTCTATCTTAGGTAAAATGAGGTAAACTGAAGGAATAAAATAAAAATCAACTCCAGAAAGTAATACAGGGTAACAAGAGATGTCACTGATAAAAAAGAAACACCAACAGGCAGAGAAACAGGTACTAGTTGCTTAGTAGGAAATACCAGACTCTAGGAGTTAACATACTGTATCTGAAAGCATGGGATAAAATACCATTTAACTTACTCAGAGAGCTTTTGCTGATACTGGGATAAAAGCAGTATCAAAACAATACATTTGTATTTATCAAAGGTTTTTTTGCTAAACAAAGCATTTTAGTACTTGAACAACATATAGAAGAATTTGTCACTCACCACTGAAATGCCACAGCTCTAAGATGAAAAGACAGCTGTTTAACAGCATGCATCAATATTACAAATAAACTGGCACAGAAAATACAGGAGGATACAGTGTCTAACGGAGACAACAACGGGAATTAAATGAGAGAATGCAATTATCACTTTTGGAATCTGGCCACTTGTCTGAAGTGAAGACTTCTAGTCTTGATAACAACGGCAATCTTCAGTTATTTGCGTATAGTCTTTTCATGACAATGCATATTTTGAAGGAAATAGTCCACCTCCTATTTTGAAGGAAATAGTCTTACCTAGAGAGCATGCCCAGAGGAGTAACATTAAGTGATCCCATCAGCATTGCCAGGGCCATCCCTGGAGCTTCTCGCTCTATCACTTCTTTAGTGGCCTGCAATCAAATATTAAATAGCAAAGTGAGTGAAGAAGTACAAGGACAGGAAAAATATGAAACCAGCTAAAATTTGGGTAGGAATATTTCCTTTTTTTTTTTTTGTCTGCTAAGAGACTTCCTTGCTAAATTCTCAAAACTGAAATAAGTTAAAGAATTTTCTCTTGGTTCTGTAAAATAGTGAAAGACAAGGAGTTGGGAAGAAGCACTGTTAGCTGTACTATAAAGACTCCTACAGAAAATGTTAAAAACCAGGACCCTACATATATAGGAAATGTTAACCAACACTAAATAAATAACAACAACTCCCTCTAACAGAAAGTAAAGAATGTTTAGGAGTAAGCAAAGAAAAACCCAAATGTAACTGCCTTCTTTTCCTCATCAATTTCATGTGCATTTTCCCAGGCATGAGAAGGGTGAATCGGTCTGCACAGAAGACAGAAAAAAAAAAACCCACTTGCAAAAGGAAGCCCATGTAGCAGGCAGGCAGGAAAATTGTAAAATGGTAATGATAATGGCCAGAGGCTGAGGCCTTCCCTTTTGATCATGTCAACAAAACAGCCGTTCCAAATAGGCTGGTGGCTTTTATTCACAAGCGGTCCATATGCAGTGGGCATCGAGAAGCCTTGAAGCAGAGTCTGAAAATTCTTGTCATTTTCAATCCTTTTTCTACACAGGGAATTAGATGGAAAATCATTTTTCTGGGATGTGCACAACCTTCTGTTCTGACTTCCTAACACAAATTTTCTCAAATGCACAATCTCCCAACCTCTAACTTTAGTTAGGACATAACACCTAAAAGGCAGGTTACAGTCCTACCCTTTCTTTATTTCCCTCGTAGTAGTTGCTGTTCAGTGGATCATCTTGTTTCATGTTCTGAAACAAGATTCTAAGTTATTTGGCACAACTAAAATGTTAGCAATGCTCATAAAACTGTGAAATTCATTGTAAAACATCCAGCCAAACTACAACTCTTTGATGGTACAGCTATCAAAATAGAAATAGAAAAGCACATCTTAAATATAAGGACACTCTGAATAAGCTAAATTTTGTTGGCAGTTTGATATAGCAAAAGAATAAAATGGAAGAAAACCAGACAGATTATTTTGTGGGAAAGATTAAATTATAAATCACATTCCTTGTACTTTTGTAGGTTCCTAGTTTACAAACAGAATAACAAAGTCACAGAAAAGGAAAATGACAGAATTAACCCAACGGCACCCCTACGAGAAGGATCCAGGAGTCCTGTACTTGCTCTACACTAGCTAAAACACTTACAAGAAGCAATAAATAAAATAAAAAAACCTATCCCTGAACAGCACAGATAGTCAAGCGACCATATTCTCAAACATTGCCACATTTTATTAACATGTTTTAAAGGAATAAGTCAGTATCAGAAGACATCAGACACAGCTACCAAATAAACCTTCAGATCTTTCATTAATAAGGAAACTTGGTATGTGATCAGTTGTGGGGAGCAAGAACTTTGGTTTAGGCAAAACCAAGCAATTTTCATTCAGTAGCTGACACCATAGTCTCTTTTATCAAGCATACCATGTTGGTTTGAGTATCTGCTATCCTCTGCTCAGAAACAGAAAAGGCATATAAATACAACCCAGTGTCTGTATTTCAACACAGGGGACATGAGAAGCAGCACGCTAGGAATGACGTAGACAAAACTAAAACTTCTCCACTGTAAGAGATTGCCTAAAGATACCTGCTGAGGTATTAAACTATCAAATCATGTTAAAAATTCTTAAGACTATCCATAGACCTGATGATTTTTACAGTATAGAAGAGAAAGACATTGCAATGGTGAAGGGACACTTCACTGACAATGAAAAAGTTGGTGAAACATGGAATTCTCTGTGTGTGCATAAGTAGTCAGTCTGTATCTATGCCTTTTTTTTCAGCAAATACCATGCTTCAAAGCTATTCAAAACTGCCTTTAAATATAAAGTGCATTTTGAGATTTCTTTTTTGCCCTTGAGCACAGTGACACTTTGAAGATATCATTAGTTAAAATTCTAAAGAGGCTTCAAAGGTAGTACAAGATGCAAAAGAGTTCCATAAACAACGATCCTGCAGCTCAGGGAGTCCTTCAATGAAATTCAAGTCCATTTTCCAACTTCACAAGAAAAATGACCCTCACAAAATGTCACTGCTAGCAGGCAATGTGATTATTAAAAATGTATAGACTAAGCAATAAAATCTGAAAGGGCAGAAAGTCCAAACAGCAGTACAGCCCTCAATGGAAGTTTCTAAAAATACTTGTTTCAAAATATATATGCTTATATTTATTACTGCAGGCAGACTTCTACAAACCGTGGAATGTTTTGTGGTTTCGTATTTGCAGCCTGACTGGATGGATGTAACCAAAAAAGGCTTCCGCTAAATAAACAGCTTTTACAGTGACAGCTGCTCTTGAAATCAGCCACTGGAAAGTCCGCTCTTGGGATGTCCTCAAATAACACTATTTAAAATGTGCGGTGTACAGGAACTGAAATCACCATCACACTGGGAAGCACACTCTTAAATTACCTATACATAGATGAATGAAATTAGCAGCGCTGCAGTGATTTGCAGATACTTTGCGTCTACCTGTAACAACTAACAATGTACCAACCAAAGTGCTGGTGGCCAGGTTTTCTAATACTTCTTTCAGGTTTGAAGGAAGGGTGGAAGAGAGATGGCAAAATTAGGTTTTCATCTGTGTCCAGCTCAGCAGTTAACTGCTTGGTACCAACATCTACCTGCATGCAAACTATTAAAGAGTTAGTGACTCAGCACCTTCACATTTTACTAACACTCTAGCAAGGCTGAATTAAAATTGTTAAACTTTGCTTCATGAGTAATTTTTTTTTGATGGTCTCACCATCGGCCAGCTTTTGCCTGCTGCAGGGGGCCACAGTGTTGGCACAAAATGAATCGCAAATCAAGGCTGTTGCCCCTGGGTCTCTTACAACAGCCGTGATGACACTACTATGTGGGCTGAAGCAGGACAAAATGATGAGGAGATTTCATTCAGGGCTGTCACACCGATGCCTTCATCAGGACTGAAGCTATACACTGATTTCTCAAACCTGAAGCTGATGACTATATAAATTTGCGTTAAATACTAAAATGACAGCAAGAAAGTGTCCCCATTTTCTCCCGCATAAGATGGTAGTGTAAAAAAGATAGATGCATACAAGATGGAGGTGGAAAAGAGGGGTTCCACAGCAGTGGAAGCATTTGAAGGTAAAAGCAAGAATTCAGGAGAGAGACAGAAATGCAGAAAGGCCATTTTGGAGGTTGCAAAGAAAGGAGAGGTTTGTATTTTAGGCAGGAGAAGGGAACATGGGAAGAAGGAAGCCTAAGTATAAAGGAAGAATTGCAGAGAGGAAGTCCAAGCAGCAGGATTGTCTGAAGGGCAGGGATGAGAGTAGAGCGAGGCCAAGTGAATGAAGTGAGTGGGACAGAAATAAGACTGCACAAGGTGGCTGGAATGGACAATACATGAGGGAGAAACTCAGGAGAAGCAGAAAGGAAGACAGGACACGACAGAAGCGTCAGGCTGTGGGAGAATCAGGGAGAGAGACAATGGGACTGAAATAAAACAGCAGTTTCTACTCCAGAGAGGAGATTGTTAGTCTATACAACTAACAATTAAACAATTATTTCATGGAACTATTCAGGACTTACTAACAATGTCTATGGAAGCAGTTCTTATATTTCATTGCTATATGAATAAACACAATTTATTTTAAAACACTTTTTTGATTGTTTTCAAAGTGCCTTTTTATTGGAGTTAGGGCATTATGTTCCCAAACCAACGGATATATTTTTAGATATCTTTGACGTAGTTGTGGTTGCTTAACAGATGGCTCGCTGCCAACTGGTTTCACAGAGTTCTCTGCTGCTTCACTGCCTTTCTTTGCCTCCGTATAAATTAAGTTAGCTCAATTCCTAACCTGTGGAAGCCCTCCCAGGCAGCTTCCGGAGGATATACCCATTGCAGACTGATTTAATTAAAAGACCTAGGACTACTCTTGAAATGTTCAGAAACACCTTATCTTTGTGTTTCAGGTCTTAAACACAGCAAAGTTTGACCTCTTAACAGTAAGCAACGATCTGAGACATTTCATATACTCTTCAGCAGTTTTTTGATGGTAATAAAGTTTTATCTCTTCAACTAAAATGCAAATACAAGATTGAGAAGTCATAATAAATTCAATTGAATTAAGATGACCGAGACTGCCTCTGTTGAAAATATTATTTCTGTCAAAAAAGTCAAAATCTGACTCTGTATAGCATATCATAAAGCTGTTTATGCACATTAATGGACACATTTGCAGATAATTTATATTTAACAGACTATAGGATTTGCATACATAACATTTTATTACCTATCTGAGCTTCCCATTGAAAGCAAAAGTCTTGGAACTTGGAATGAAATACCTGTATACCCCCTGCAACAGAGCTCACAAACCACAGTCAAACCTCAGAAGACTGGACTCAGAAGAACTACAGAGACAGAGCAGTCAAATATGCAACAAAAAGGTCAGTCACGTCTGTCAACCAGTTGTGTAAGAAATGTATAGTTTAGGAACAAAAATTGCATCTCTCAGCTTGCATATGAGATACCTTCTTCAAGGTTATTCAGTATACCCCTGCTGGAGATAACATGTGTGCCTGTAATTTCTATTCACAAGCCAGTTATTTCAGCTTATTCTCAACTCTTATTTTGCCGGGGAGAAAACAGAGCTTACATGGGGCTAGACTTATTAGAGCTTCTCACCTAAAAATCACTTATCTATTTCTTCTCTTAGTACAATAGGAAATACAGGTTGAAGCAGTTGGTTTCTTTCAATACACTGAGAAGGTTTTGGATAAGGATCAGCTTTGAGTCATTCATTCTCACCATCATGCTGTCTTTCCTTGATTTTTTCTTATGCCCTGCCCCCAATAACCTATGTGATGATATTCTCTGTCTTTTTTATGGATGGAAGCCTTGACAG